GTCCTTCCCGGGGTGTCATGTGTCACCAGAATGGAAGCTCAAAAACTAGCTCTTCTGTCGAAGGATGGCCTCTCCCATCCCCACCTCTGCCCACTGACACCTGGTCTGTCAGCAGGTATTCTCAGTTGGGGCATCTAGAGATGTCTGGCTGATAAAGCCAGGAGGAATGCTGCTGAACCTGCTGGGTAGAGGGTGGGGGTGCCACCAAGCTCCCCACAATATATGGGACAGTCCCCTCGGCAAAGTATTGCCGCACCCCAAATTTCAGTGGTCCTGATGTTGATGGGTCTAGCCTAGAACACCTCCCAAATCCTCCTCCTTCACTCCATCATCAATTCTCCCTGGATCTCTCACAGGTGTCCCTGCACAGCAGCCCACAGGACCTGTTCGAAGCTCTCCCACAGCTTCCCAGCACCCACCACCCACAGCCTGTCAGGTTAACCCACTCCTGGGATCCTGGGCCACCAGTTGGGAAGGGAAGCTCAGAAACACTGATGTGAGAGCCGGGGAAATAACTCAGTAAAGTGTGTTCCATTAGCGTTAAGGACCCGCACTCGATTCCCAGAACCTATGTTTAAAAAGCCGGGCTCCTGGTGTGTGCTTACAATCTCTGAGGAGGTGGAGACAGGACCTATGGCCACCCAGCCTAGCTGGATAGCCACAGCTCAAGCCAATAAAAGACCTTGTCTCAAAAAATAAGCAAACAAAAAATATAACAACAACAAAAGCAAGGCAGACAGTCCCTGAGGGATAACACCTAAGGCTGTTCTCAGGCCTCTACCTGGGGACACACACAAAATGCTGAGTTACTGTGTGCATGTGTGTAAGACTTTTTCCTATCAGAATATAATAAGTGAGAGCCAGTACACCTGTCTTGTTCACTGCTGGACCCCAGCAACTAAAGCAGTGTTTGTGCATAGTAGAGACCCAAAAGAATATTTGTCTAATGAGTGAATGCATAAAAGGACCCCAAGAAGGTGTGGCATTTCAAGGTACTAGAGGAAACATTGCAAGGCCATGCCCCTTGATCTGGAGGTGTTCAAACACTAAGGAGGCAAGAAAGGCACTCAGGCATGGCTTAAACACACACAAAAAAATTTCAGGAGCAGATGCCTCAGAGCCCCAAGTTCTCAGTTTCTGTCCCTGAGCCCTGAGTCCAGAGGCAGTGGCTGCCTACAGTTACACTTGAGTGAACAGTGAACACCAGAGGTTTATTGAATTGTGTGTGGTAGGGGGGGGGGGGGGGGGGGGGCGGTGGTGGTGGTGGTGTGAAATTATGAATCAGAAAATATGGTACCATGCACACAGCAAAGGCTATGTATTGTCACATCTATCCGAAGAGTGAGCATCACAGGCAGCAGGGCACTGTCTACAGGGTGCGTGCAAGAAGTGCTTTGGGTTCTAAGGAAGCAAAACTAAATATCCCAAGGATTCTTTTCTTGTAAGTTAACACAGTAAATACATTGCAGGCAAGCCTGCTCTAATCGTGAAATGAGAAAATGGAATCTGGTGAAATAAAAGGGCTAGAGGGATGTTTTTGGCCGGGCGTTGGTGGCGCATGCCTTTAATCCCAGCACTCGGGAAGCAGAGGCAGGTGGATCTCTGAGAGGTCAAGGCCAGCCTGGTCTCCAGAGCAAGTGCCAGGATAGGCTCCAAAGCTACACAGAGAAACCCTGTCTCGAAAAAACAAAAAACAAAAAACAAAACACAAAACAAAACAAAAAAAAAAGGCGTGGGAGTTTGAGGGAGGCTCAAGGACTTGCCAGACACAGACGAGTGAGCGTGTTAAAGAAACAAGTCTGAAGCAGATGACAGACACAAGTGTGTGGACACATTCATACACAGCTGCAGGCACAGGGGCAATCTGTCATAAAGGTGCGAGACACTTGTACAGTTCCTTTGTTTGCATTTAAAGCCCACAGTGGCAGTCACCTCAGGTAGATCCTAGTGACCTTGTTCAACTTATGTGTTCAGAGATGTTGAATACCAATACTGAGGGGAGCAAGCAACAGATACCCTGAGCCCACTGTAAGTGCAGAGATGGGAGCTGTGCCTGGTGCTCCCTGGAAGGGAAGGCAGAGAAGGGTCTGATGAAGGAGGGGCCCGAAAGAGGTCAGTGCAAAGACTGACCAATGGGATAGGGGCGCTGTCCATCTAGCATCTGTTACAGAATCTAGACATAATGACCTCCTTAAGTCCTTGTGGCCCTGTTGGGATAGAGATCTTGAGAGGAAAACTTATGGTACCTCCTTATAATAGAGGCCACAACCTTAATGATGGAAAAATTGAGGTTCGGGTACTAAGAGGCATTGGTAAGCTGGGTACACTCTGGGTACCATCTATGTCTGCTCTTCCTAACCTCAACCTACTCAGAGATCAAAGATGCTGCAATAAGAAAGATGCAGGACCTAAGGACTTTCTTCATTCTACCTCTTCCTTTCAAGCTTGCACCATGGGCAAAAGTTCTTCTTGGTTGACTGGATCACAAGACTAAATGCCCCTCTGCAGCTGTTTCTGGAAGCTCATCCCCATTTTCCTCCTGATTTTATCACCCTCCCCTTCTTTAACACTATACTAGGGAATAGAGAGAAAAATAGCATCACCGTTCTTAGAACCCGGCAGGTACTTCACAGCCGCCCACACCTGCCTGCCTCTTGCCCAGAGAGAGAAAACAAGCTGCAGGAAGGGCTGGCTGGCCAGGGCTCAGCCTCCCCTGCAGCCTAGAACTGAGGCTCCTCTCCTAGGAGTCAAAAGCTATCAGAGGGGAGCACAACATAACAGGTAGGGGACTTTAGCAGAACAAGATACCCAGTGTCTATGGAGATGAGCAGCCCAGGAAGGAACAGTGGGCCTCGGCTGATACAGAACACTGTAGGAATGCTTTTACTATTTTAGGATTCAATAAAAATAACATGTTGATTTCTAGAACTAATACAAAGAACGAAAATGAAACCCCATTGCCTTGAAGACAGTACTGTAATACTTAATAACCAGGTTACCTGCCCATCACATTTTGTCATCATTTCTTTCTGGGCTAGCAGGAAAGTCCTGTATTAAATGCCAGTGGGGCTCACAGCTACTGATATGTGTGTGTGTGTGTGTGTGTGTGTGTGTGTGTGTGTGTGTGTGTGTGTGTGTGTGTGCGCGTGGGGGGGTGTGAGCGAGGGGGGGGGCATGATAGAGAGGACAGAGCTCAACACCAGGCATCTTCCTCTGTTGCTGCCTACCTTATTATTTGTTTTGAGACAGTACCTCTCACTGAACCTAGAGCCATCAATTCAGTTTGAGTATCTGGCAGGGAGCCCCAAGGATCCTCATGCCTCTGCCTTCCCAGTGTCAGGATTACTGTCACCCGTACCCCGGTGCCCAGCCTTTTATTGTGAGTTCTGGGGATATAAACTCAGGTCCTCATGCTTGCATGGCAAACACTGTATCAACTAAGCCATCCCCAGCCCCTACATTAAACATCTTACACATCTAGAAACTCACGAACAGAGAGAGAAGGAGGCCAAAATGCTTCTTGGAGGAAAAGCACCACTGGAAGCTAACTAGCCATAGCCCTTCTTGACTTTTACAATATTCCTGGTCTTTCTTAGCTGGACTCAATGCATTTTCTTAACTTCTGTTTTCAATCTCTGATGGATCTACAGGGAGTGAGCAC